CGTCCTGTGGCTTGCCACAGTGACAGGTAAATCCGAAACCGGATGCCGCCACACACACACATATACATATATATATATATATATATATACCATTTTCACTTTAAATTGGACATTTTGCAAACCACTTGGGACATTTTGCAAAACAAATTGGACACGTTGCAATCTAAGTAGCAACTCGGCAATTTGTTGGTAAGAAACGAGCAGTAAGACTGCTGAATGATGTTCAGAATATACATTATGATGACGCTAATACACCGGCATTGTGTAAGCAGCGGGCTACACTGTAAAACATTTCCTTGATCGTGAGCAGCGACCGAAGGTCTGAACTACGCTCCCCATTGACATTCGCCTAGTTGGTGTGCAGTGCCCATACGCATCAACCTGTGTATGTGTGTGACAATTGGAAAAGCAGACGTCCGAATTGTAATTGTGTATCAATCGTTTTGTGAGTGGATTGCGATGCACAATCTCAATGTGCACCGTTATTCTCATTAGAGGGAACCTTGTCCGATTCGGTCAATGGGACCATGTCGGATGAAGCAGGTAGGCGGTGTCCCAGCTTCGCCCGTCTCTCTATTAGCTTTCGCAACTGCCACGTTATTGTATCAGCGTAGGCTGTAATGACCCCCAGCAAAACCAGTTTAAATCTATAGCCTATTGTAGCAACACATCAACTACTGAGGAGTGGGCCGATTACACGATGTTCAGGCCACATTGTGGTCACGATAATGTAACCGAACTGCGTACGTAGCGGGTGATTGTGTAAGCCCTTCTCTTGACATGAGTGCCGTTCGCCTCGGTCAAAATCGGTGACCTATTTTCCCCTACACCCCCCATAGGAATTCGTGTGTTTTGTCTGGGTGTGTGGACCGACCTATGCAGCGGTACCACTATTGGAGCGGAGCATACGATAATGGTTCCACTCAACACAACTTAGCTTTATTAGCTCCGTGCCGCACGAAACGACCAAAATGAGTGACGAACAACAGGAGAGCTGGTGTCCGACGCGACGGCACTGCAGGCGAACATCATTTGCGCAAAGAGAAATTCTCACAAAACTTGTGCTGGTCGACGGCAAAACTACTCGGGAAGCCGCTGAAGTCGCCGGTGTTAACGCGAGTACGGCAAGGAACATCATTAATGCCTACAAGCGAGAAGGCTCAAATACACAGCGCACCTGCGGTGGAAACAATAGGGAGAAGCTGACTCCCAATGTATTGCAGCGCGTCGAAGAAGCGGTTGAACGGCACTCTGAGGACACGTTGGTGCAGCTGCGCCTGAGAGAGAATGGGATAAACCTATCAGTATCCTCTGTCTTCAACGCCCTCAGAAGACTAAAGATAACTCTCAAAAAGTGTCATTACGAGCTCCATCGAATCAACAGTGTCACGACAATCGCTAGCCGACAGGCGTACGCTCTCGAATTCTCTGCACATGCACCTTCTGACAAGGAGAAAGGCATCTTCATAGATGAGAGTGGTTTCAACCTTCATCTGAGGCGAACTCAGGCTCGCTCAAGAAGAGGGACGCGCGCGAACGTCGTGTTACCCACAGTCAGAGGTCGCATGGTAACCCTGATTGTTGCAATGAATAACCAAGGCGTCATCCATTCGAAGATCATTAACGATGGCACCTGCAATGGTGCGAAGTTCTCAGCGTTCGTCGAGGAACTGGTGGCGCGTATAAGCTGCATAGTGGAGATGAACGGCGCGTGGCTGATCATGGACAATGCCAGGATCCATATGCCTGATGAGCTAAGGAGGATCCCTGGTTCGTCTTATCACCTGCAGTTCTTACCGCCCTACTCGTACCTGCTAAACCCGGTAGAACACGTCTTTTCAAAGGTGAAAGCGTCGGCAAGACGCCTGCTTATTAACCCTACACCTGAGCAGACGCTGAGCACTTTCATTCAGGACAGCGTTGGGATGGTAACGCAGCAGGACTGCATGAACTGCGTTCTCAATACGATGATGAACCTGACGAAAGCGACAACCGGACAACCCTTCGTCAACTGATCTTTGCTATGGTTACTGCCATATTTTTTGTTAACACACCATTTCAGTTTCAAAATGTGCGTTTTCAATATTAACAGTTGGCTTAGCGTGTAAGAGCAGGACGGTCACCGACAATTCGAGAGCGTACGCCTGTCGGCTAGCGATTGTCGTGACACTGTTGATTCGATGGAGCTCGTAATGACACTTTTTGAGAGTTATCTTTAGTCTTCTGAGGGCGTTGAAGACAGAGGATACTGATAGGTTTATCCCATTCTCTCTCAGGCGCAGCTGCACCAACGTGTCCTCAGAGTGCCGTTCAACCGCTTCTTCGACGCGCTGCAATACATTGGGAGTCAGCTTCTCCCTACTGTTTCCACCGCAGGTGCGCTGTGTATTTGAGCCTTCTCGCTTGTAGGCATTAATGATGTTCCTTGCCGTACTCGCGTTAACACCGGCGACTTCAGCGGCTTCCCGAGTAGTTTTGCCGTCGACCAGCACAAGTTTTGTGAGAATTTCTCTTTGCGCAAATGATGTTCGCCTGCAGTGCCGTCGCGTCGGACACCAGCTCTCCTGTTGTTCGTCACTCATTTTGGTCGTTTCGTGCGGCACGGAGCTAATAAAGCTAAGTTGTGTTGAGTGGAACCATTATCGTATGCTCCGCTCCAATAGTGGTACCGCTGCATAGGTCGGTCCACACACCCAGACAAAACACACGAATTCCTATGGGGGGTGTAGGGGAAAATAGGTCACCGATTTTGACCGAGGCGAACGGCACTCATGTCAAGAGAAGGGCTTACACAATCACCCGCTACGTACGCAGTTCGGTTACATTATCGTGACCACAATGTGGCCTGAACATCGTGTAATCGGCCCACTCCTCAGTAGTTGATGTGTTGCTACAATAGGCTATAGATTTAAACTGGTTTTGCTGGGGGTCATTACAGCCTACGCTGATACAATAACGTGGCAGTTGCGAAAGCTAATAGAGAGACGGGCGAAGCTGGGACACCGCCTACCTGCTTCATCCGACATGGTCCCATTGACCGAATCGGACAAGGTTCCCTCTAATGAGAATAACGGTGCACATTGAGATTGTGCATCGCAATCCACTCACAAAACGATTGATACACAATTACAATTCGGACGTCTGCTTTTCCAATTGTCACACACATACACAGGTTGATGCGTATGGGCACTGCACACCAACTAGGCGAATGTCAATGGGGAGCGTAGTTCAGACCTTCGGTCGCTGCTCACGATCAAGGAAATGTTTTACAGTGTAGCCCGCTGCTTACACAATGCCGGTGTATTAGCGTCATCATAATGTATATTCTGAACATCATTCAGCAGTCTTACTGCTCGTTTCTTACCAACAAATTGCCGAGTTGCTACTTAGATTGCAACGTGTCCAATTTGTTTTGCAAAATGTCCAAAGTGGTTTGAAAAATGTCCAATTTGGTTTGCAAAATGTCCAATTTAAAGTGAAAATGGTATGTATATATATATATATATATACATTGATCACAATCTGTGTACAGATATTGTGCCATCGAAACCACGGCGGAATAATGGTGGATTAAATGTAGCAAATGCAGTTTGTTTTCCATTTTTCTATTCGTAGTTTTTGCGTTTTTTTGATGTTTTTTTGGGGGTAGGAAGGGATGGTACATTCATGGTTCGGCAGTTTGCGAGATATTACCCGGTTGTCCAGGCCGAAGTAGAGGGTGGTCTTAGGAGGACTCAGGCCGAGCCTTTGATCCAGGGTCTAACCTACGAAGCAGCAGGGCGATATGAGAATATCGCAACCCATTGGGAGCCGGTGACCAAACAAGTGGTTGATACGCCTTTAGAACCAGGGGCCCAACACACCTTTGAATTACAATGCCACTCAGATAGAGGCAAGAGGCAGTGACTTATTTAGTGGCGAGTCATCCGGCACGTCATTGTTGTTAAACGGGCATATGTGGCTTTTTATAGAGCGAACGCTTGCCAGGCGAAAACCCACCACGTCCTGGAACGCTGCCGCCGAACCATTCGCTGGAACGGGATAATCCCGAACCACCCAGCTGACACCACAAGGTGATTTCTCCTGCACTTTTGAAAACTGTAACGTGGTAAGACAGAATTTGCAAAACGGACCTACGAAATCTGCGGAAAGATACTACATATGTTCTAAAGATTGCAGATTCCGTAATGAGAATGAATGAGGCCGAAATATCCACAAATTAATTCCAATATGCCGGTAAATCCACACAGCAACGGAATAACCATTTGGAGGTCACTAGTCGCAGCAGAAGGTAGGTAAAGGCAATTCTGAGACCCGTTTAGCAGATACCAGTTGACTCTGCTTGTCCACACCCTGCAGCATGAGTATATGAGGATTCCATGCAGCTGCACTTCGTAGTTCTCGTTCTTTGACTTGTATTAAATTAGAGGGCAACTGGTCCAATAGGCTACCATTAAGATTTTGGTCCCAGCCGCTGACCGCGGCCACGCGACACTTGCGCGGATTCGATGGCCATCCTTTGGGTCAGATGCGTTGTCATTGACGGTGGCTCGAACTACTAATTGTGGACTAGCTTCGGGACAACTGCATTTCCAGCCCACGTGCATCTTGTTATTATTCAAATTATCACTGAATGTAGAATAGGCATTGATGGAATGCAGGTATATGACGAACACCCCGTACACGCGTCCCCTGACTGTTCGCCGCCGTGTTGACTGAAACGAGAGAGGATCACCAGCAGGCTCAATCGCACGGTTTTTGGTTAGGTCTACGTGTTCCAAGGTGGTCATTGGTTTGGTTGCCACCTGGCCATATCCTCACGTTTTTTCATTCGCTTATATCAAGATCTTCGAGACTAAACTTCACTCTCCATATAAGGGGAGATTCTCCTTATGATAGTATTTGTTTTGGAAGAAACCGAATGACTGGTATGGTAGTTAAATGACAAACCTTCCTGTCCATATCGGTTCCTTTCCAAGTGGCTTGCATGGAACGAAGTTTGGAATAGTTATATGTATATTTTTAACAAATTACTTCGGGTACACCCGTCTACCGGGAGTCGGTCATCGGAGGTGACTTCATGCGATCACCTATACAACAGGACAAAATCGATCCCGTCCTCCGGTGCGTTGAAATTGCGTGCTAATCTTCAGAACCCGTTCTCAACCAACCCGAGCTGTCTCATGAAGGCCTGTTCATTCCTCAAATACTCTTCATATTCCACCTAGAATGATAGGGAAAGTGAAGTTAGTTTAATTGGGGGTGACGTTACTTACTATAATTATCGTCACAAAAGTTAGTTACTGTCATCTACAATTATGCACTACCGCACTCTAGTCTAGTGTTCGATGGAGGTTCTTCCAGTTAGTGCGAGTTCTAACAATCTTGAACCAATCGGCTGCAATGCGATCAGATTCGCTACATGAACATCAAATAACGGGTCATGTTTGGCCGTTGATATATGCAGGGTAGAGTTTCTTACCTCCAGCTAATGTGTACGATGATCAACAGTACATTGCTGATGTTTTAGGGGCGAACTGAATCAGCGCCGTTAAGTCCATCAGTTATCATTTAGCACCAATCCTCTGGGGGCTACAATGAAGTGTCTGTTGAATTACGGCTCACTATGTCGACTAGGACATCGCAGACTTGCCGACCGGTTCCCATAAGTATTGTCTGTCTAATTGGATGGATTCCCGAGGTAGCCAATCGACAACCACTGGAACTAGCACGAATTGTCGAACGGAGTGGGTGCACTCCTTCTGGATGAGCTTTCGAGATCGCACACAGTGGTTATTATTTCCGTGGTTGCATAACCACGAGTTCAGTTGCCTTCCTACATCGATCCTTCTAGCTCGAATCCTTCTTCTGAAGATACCATCTTTTGGTCCCCTCTACTTGTCTTTTTTATATCCATGGTGATGGATTTAACGCGGCTGGATCGACACACCTTGGCACACGGATCGTAGTCCAACAACTCAGATGAATAGCTTTTCTACAATCTTCCTGTTGTATCGTTCTACGATTTATCTCCCTGGGGTTTTCTCGTCATCCGCCTAACGTGACGGTCCGTGGCCACTTACCTGACTAGAGCAATGAACATTCATCGTTCATGGCGTTGCATGTCGGACCTATTGAGTCCCCTCACTTTCTGAAACCATCACCTTGGCACTAAACATGGTCTCGAGTTCCTTCTTCCGTGCAACTCCACCGCTTGAGATCCCGGTATTCTGATCAAAATAGTTATTCCCACTTGACTTACCAGTCATTGAAACATGAAACGGTGTGTAATACCAGGTACTCCTCTGATCTAAATGCTATTAACTTAGGTCGCTTACATAGTGCATTCTATAAATTTACGGAACATTTGGTGAAGTATGCCGTTGTTGAAGCAATTATGCAGTTGGGTTGAGAACTTACCGTCTCTTTCTGTTTTAGCTCTTCTGGCGTGAGAACGACAGCGGGGGCTATACCTGCCCGACGCTTTTGTTCTGCTTCTCGTTCTATCTTCTCTTGCTCTCTCAGGGCCCAACGCATGAGAACAAACTCTCGCCTTTTCATTTCACGGTCTATGTAGAGGTTGAAGTTGGCCAGTTCCTGGGGCAACATCGCTTTCAAACGCCTGGGTACCTAAATAAGGGTCGTAACAATTTGCTTCGTTAAATCATGTGATTGCGAGTGCTGTCGCTCACCAGTTTTTTCTACCATTGGAATACTATTTACTACAAAGGAAGCAGCTTAACGGTGAACAAAGTTACCTCAATAAACATCCGTTTTTCTCACTCTCCGAGGCTTGATTTGTCTTCTCACTCTGAGTATCTTGAAGACCGTCTGAACTTCTATTGTCCGCCCCACTACCATCAGTCGTCCTGTGAAAAGCGATATGGCGAAAGCTTCGGATGTTTGCTGCGCACATTAAGGCTTCGTGCTTGGGACGTCTGCAGTGTGTCTGCCCGCTTCAAACTGAATTGAATTCGCTTACATGTATACGTGAGCGCGATGACACTCCGCTATTTGGCATGATCCCATCGATAGCTCCTCAGTGCCTGCGCGTAGTGCATGAGCTAGACTAAGGTGGGAAACCTTCGGTGCACATTTTACTCGAGTGGCCAGTGAATACTATTAGTTTGCCAAACGGCAGTTCTCACACACTTTAGTGGTTGTTCCTTCCTTTTCTATCCGGGTTCTACTTAATCTTCTTAACTTCCTTTCTTAAACTATGGTACCCATTAGGCTCTCGAGCGATTAGAATTATACGTGGCAGTACTCTCATGATATCAGTCAGTGTATTTCCCTGTGTAGGGCGTCGATCACTTCGGTATCACGTCCTTTTTGCCGCATTTCGAGTTTCTTCGTGGACGGCCCCTGTTCTATACCAACACAATGCATCGATGCCTTCAGATGTCTTATCACAGTGATAATATAGCGGTCGAAGTTGTCGCCTGTTAGCAAATATCGCTGTATCAAAGGGATACCGTGAGTGCTCCACCCAGCGACCCCTTTTCCAAAACGTGATCGACTGCTGACGCTCTCACTATAGCTACAATTAGGGCAACAGATCTACACTGCGTACTCCAATCTCATTAATTTTATCGAGTGTAGAAAAAGCAGGTTTCGCGTTGTTAGAACCCGTGGCAGGCGGTAACTTGTTTATTGTTAAAGTGGCTTACGCTATGTGTGTTCGTTCATACCTTGGAGGCGTCCGCTCATCTGCGTGATCTCCATGGAGTGTTCCCCAACTGGTGCTTGCCTCTGTGTTCACTCCTCGTGCACATGGAACTGTAATCCTGATGTCATCTTCAACTTTGGGGAAGTCGGCAGGGCTCGCTGTTGGTGTGTCATCTTGCACCACCACTACTTATACCCGGCACAGTAGTATCTACCTTTAATCCACCACAGCGTGACGTACCTGTCTTTACTAATGCAGTTAAACGATAGGACCCGTAACGTGCTGACTCCCGGGGATGCAAGTGGCATTGGTTCGCATGGTGACCTAGCCAAGTGGTGTAGCTTGCGGCTTTCTTCACTGATAGATGCTTGGGTAATATTATAGCAGTGACGCTGACCTCCTTGAGGGTGGATTGAGATAAGTTCTCTTTATCTCTTCCAGGGTTGACACGTTGCGTGTACCGAGTATTTCTGCAAGCTGTGTGGCTGTGGGGCCTTAGAAACCCCTCTTAACAGCCGTTCCTAGTCTTGAAGGTTCCATACCACCGTTTCGTTTTCGACAATGGCACTGCATTCTTAGTCGACTAAACTTGGTGTTTACTCTTCTTCTCAGTGTATCCATAAGCCGGTCCCAGTTGTTGTCGAAATTAATGAAGATGGCTGTCAGACCATCGAGAGCAAAACGTAGACATGAACAAGGCGCAATAGTGATCCAGGACATCAAAAAGACACCTGACTCACTGGTTTTCAAATAAGATTCTGCTTACTACTCCTGGTTATTGTCAGTGATCACACGGTAGGACAGCCATTCACTCGGATAGTTGTCGGTCGTCCACCTTACTCCAACTGTTATCGCTGTGTGCTTAAGGCCAATCGGGTGCATTACATGCTGACTTGCGCTCGGTGTAGGTGTTGAAGGTGGCTGTACATGCAGGGGGTGTATTCTGTGGCGTTACGTTTGCTCCGCTATTCGCACGCATTTCTTGAACCTTCGTCGCCTCTGAATCAGTGAAACAGTTTGGTGACAAGGACGTCACCGGTTTCTTTTTGGTGTTACCATGTGGAGGGCAATAAAATCCCTTTCTATGCCTACCGTACTAGGTATGAGTGCGCGTACTGTTGAACTAGGATTCCCCTTACCGCCTTACTCCAGTGCCATGAAGCGAGCATGATGAGTACACTTGCGAAAACTCTTCGTAAGCGTTGTCACTTCAGGTGTCTAAATGAAAAATCCCTCGTCACTAGAGAACAATGTTTGGGACGAAATGTTACGATTCTTAATCAACCATACATCCATCGCATAAGGGCTAGTTGTGACTGCAGGAAGTGATCTTACTGTGGAACGATTCGGAACAGAGCAACTCATTCTAGCTTCGAATAGCTCAGTGTTTTGCGAGAAAGACAAGAATTATTGGTCAGATTGATAGTGAACACACGGGTACCTTCGTGTACCTGCTGACATGTTTCGCCGACAAATGTATGAGTTGAGTTTGCTCAGTCACAAAGGGACAATTGAAATGTTGCCTAGCTTGACTCTAAATGTAGCACGCTCAGATGCGATTTGCAGAAGCCATGGGAGGGAGCTCGTTTCGATAGTCACTCAGGAAAGAACAGGGCTGCGATGGTAACGCGTGCATCTATGCTCTCCTGGAAGTCATTTCCTGAAACATGCACAGCCTTAAGGGAACCTTATTTCTCTCACTACCCTGCTCGCCTATGTTTTAACCACATTTATTCCTTACCAATTAACAAGCGGAGCGTTTGGCAAATGAACGAGACGAAACTTTTTGCCAGGTGGAACCGATCCCAACGGAGGGGTTTATGCTAGTTCTATCCAAGCAAGTCTGATCGTGCTAATTCAGTTATACTGACTTATAGCGGGATAGAAACAAAAACATAGGATTAGAGTAGTGCACAAACTGAATGCTGTCTTGATAGAGTTGATTTCAAGATCAAACTAATGTCATCTACCAGCTGGACTGCATTGAACAAACAGGAAGAAAACTTTCTGTACGGATCATCGGGCAAAAGAAAGTCATAATACAGTATACTTCGTATTCTTGGGTTCATGTACGCGAGGATGAAAATCACCATTTTGACCTGGAAAACGTAAACATTCTAGCTCTTAAGAGTACGAAGCAAATAAAGAAATTCTTGGAATTATGACATTCTGTAGTCCACTTTATCAATCGGCATGTTGTGTTGGACGCCATATGCGCAAAACCATGAGCAGGCAGTCATCAACTCAATTGAATACCCCAAAGGGAAGAGGATACCAGGCAACAGTTTCACCCTCCGAACATGGATCGAAGAGACCATTTCTACAGCTCTGCTCCTCGACTAATCAGGATATGGGGATCAGAAGTGACCAATGACGCTAACCTATAAAAGCGCACACAAGCGAGTGCCCGATTCACAGCTGCTCAAGCATCGCTCCGTTCCGATGCAAGTGAACGTACTGATGAAGTTTTAGGGGTCCTGGAATTTTCCCATTCGATTGCGGTACTTTTTGCAAACATTTTAAGGCCAATTAGGAAATTTACTTATTAGGAATGTTGGCTGCGTTTGTTTGAGTCAACCAGACCGAAAGTATTCGGCGCCCTTCCGGTTACCATTCGGGGACCTCCCCTAAATAGACACTTGCTTTTTGATATAACTAACTGTGACTTCGTCGCAGCAGCTTCCAAATTAGATTGTCTTCCACATGCCCATCATCATCAACAGCAGCCCATCAGTCATTTGAACTGATGCTTTGCTACCATTCAACCATAACGGCCTACGGAACGAAGAGTAATAAGGGGGAGAGCTGGGGGACCTATCCTAAAATCTTAATGCCCTAAGCAAACCTTCAAGGTCAAGGCGCCAACATCTTGTCAACAACGTACCGTCACAAACAGCTGTCCATTTTGCATAGCTAAGGCGGCATCAACGAGGTAGTTTCCTTGCGGCTTTCACTGTTTTTCGTCACATAAGCTGCCATTACTTTGCAAATGACAGTCCGACTAGGAGACGGCAGCAGACGCGTTACTTTTGTCGACTGCGAGCCATGTCCTGTAAGGTCTCGAGCCAAGCACAAGGCAACTTACGTGGACTCCAACCCGGAAAGCTAGACGGCACCGAGTTTGGTCGTCAATGACTTCATTTCCCGCTGCTAAGTCAACGCTGGTGCCACTCGACTCTAGCAATGCTTAGCAGGTAGCGGTGATCAAAGGCTCGAAGGCGCCAATCTCACTCCCATAAAGTAGGACGGCCCTCACTATGGTCTTGTATATTCGGCGTTTCAGACCGAAGGAAACTCCTGACTCTGATGATCTCGCGGATTCAATAAAGTTCTTGCTGTTGCGATAAGTGAACTGACTTCAGTTGCTAAGCACTCATCGTTGCTAATGCAGCTCCTAAGGTAAGTGAATCGATCAACTACCTCGAGTCCCTCGCCAACAAAAGCCAAGGGGTCATCAGCTGACTAATGGTCCTATAATAGTGTTGCATTTTGCAGGTACGAAGCGCCTACCGATTAATGGGACCACTCTATAGAGGCTATTCAGGGTTCATTGCTCCACCCCAACATCGTTAAGATCAACTAGCCTTTCACCAGGCAGCACCTCAACGTCTACATCCCGAGGCTCTTCAAAGGAACATTCCATGGAGTTCACGACGAAATAGAGTAAAAATGGAGAAATTGGACAATCGTGACAAACGCCACTTTTAGACGGAAAGATATTCGACAGGTCACCGTAGACCCTGACGCGGCATGTAGTGCTCGAGAATGGAGTGTGTAAAATGTTCTCATATTTCGTGGGAATGCCATTCGTCGCAAGTATTTCGAAAAACCTTCATCGAGCGGACCCACTGTTGTATTCGAGGAACACAGGTGTTGGTCTGCGGTATGCGTAGCGCTGTTCTAGCACCATCGCAATGAGGCTCGACCTTATCGTTGTGCGATGGTTTGCATGCTTCAGCGATCCACTGATCTATGTTGTGTGTTTTTTTTTGCACCTTCGGAGCCACTCATACCAGATTGGTCAATGGCTAGAGACCAGAAAAACAGTCTCCATGTTAGGGGTTGGAATGAGGGTGGCTCCTTACTTCATAAAACGGGCTCTCTGTAGTCCAGGGTCAAAACCCCGCTGCCTTGCGGTCAGGTTTTCGAACCAAAGGCTTTGGTTGAAAACCCTAATCGTTCTCCAGTCTAGGCCTGGGCAACCTGACAGTATTCTGCCCACGCAATATTATGGATCTCAAACAGTCTCCTGATGCTCTGGCCACCGCAGAGAATACTCAAGGGTACCTTGTATGCTACGTCGAACAGGGTGAATAAGGGTTTGGATGCTACTGCTCAAACCTGCTCGTCTTCGTATTCTTTATTTTAGGCTTTTTCACCCTTATCGTGCCGTTCCAACTTCACTTTTATCCCCCCAGTTTTCAACCCCAAATTCTTAATCCTCCCCCACCTTGCTTTAATAGGCGTTTATCTTCTGGTTTCAACTCACATGCAAACGCGGAGCGTCGCTTTTGCGCTATAGACAAACCCATATCTATCTAAGCGGTGAAGCCCAGTGTATCAGCTTCCATTTGGAGTCCCTGATCCTCCCTCAAATTGGCATGCCTCAACGTAAACACATTGTTACCGATTGGTCAATAGACAGCGCCTGCCCGAACATTAGAGACCCTCTCGATCGGTATCTCCTGCCTGTTGGAAACCCGCCCGCAAGACCCGAGCTCTGTACACAATCTGCGATCCCATTCAGGTGACATTAGTAGTGCTTTCTCATTGCGCCTATCAGGGGACGATACAGCTTCGAGTACTGGCCAAGTTGGTATTGCTCTGAGTCACCGGGTTGAAGCTGCTCTTGTTGATTACATCCCAGTCAGTAGCCGGATGTGTGCGGTCCGGCTGGCTGGCTCGTTCAAAATTTCGAAGTTGCGCGGGGCTAATAGGTGTGTTTATTATCGCTGTTTACGCCCCCACAAACTGATGATTCCGTGAAGACGACTTCTATCGTCAACCGAACGGGCTCCTTAGCCACAGAGGAAGGTCGGACACTGTTGTGCCGGCTGGGGATCTGAACGCTCAAGTTGGGAAATTGTCCACTGATGAGCTGCATCTGGGCGGCCAACATGGTGTAGGATCCCGTAATGAGGACGGTGAGCGGTTACTTCCTTTGTGTAAAGATGCTCGCATATTTCATACGAGCACTAACTCCCGGCACAGCATCCGTCGGAAGGTGACATGGCACCCACCAGACATGGACTCAAATCGATCACATCGCGATCAGTTATCGCTGGACAGGCTGTGTCCAAAACTGTCGCTCGATTTAGGGCACATGTGTGGACACTGACCATGTACTAGTATGTGATGGTATGCGGATGCGTTTTGACGGTCGCCCTCGACGACCTTGTGAGCGCATAGACACCAGCCAACTGATGAAGCCAGCTGTTCTGAATGCCTATCAAAGTGCGCTGACATGCGAGTTGAGTAGGCGCTCACTGGATGCAGTTGATGCTCACTGGTCTCAGGTTCACCAGACCTTACTAGCAGCAGGCAAATCCTCATGTCGTAAGTCTAATAGTCAACATGGACATTGGGTCACTTCGCGGTCTCTGGAACTTATCCATGCTCGCCGATATATTCCTGCTGGAAGCGAACACAATGAGACTTGCAGCAATCTCGGGACAAAACTCCCTGCTAGCTAGAAGATAGGCCGCGAATCCTGCTGGTCTGATCGTGCACCAGAGATGGAAATGGCCGCTGCCCTTGGTAACCATCGTAAGTTATTCCGTCTGATACGGGAAAGGGCAGCAGGAGACCTGGTGTTAGTGAAACTGTACGTGACGAAAGTGGACAACCTATCCATAAATTTGATTGGCTTGACGGTGCCCTATTAGACATATGAAAGGATTTTCTGTTATTGTATTGGTACTAACGAGATAATACGAAATGCTAGGATCTGCCAATATTCGTCTTCTCATTTCGTTGTTCAAACTACTGAAGGGAACTAACTGTTTTAAATATCCATAACTTGTCAAAACGTTTGGAGCGTTGGGCTGAGCATTTTGAAAAGCAGTTTACTCGGCCGGAATTGCTAGATCCCTCACCGGCCAGTGATCGCCCTGTTCCCTGGTCTGTCCCTTTGAATCCGCCCTCTCGCTTGGAAGTCCAACGTGGGATCAGACGTTTGAAGTTGAATAAGACTGCGGGACCAAACGATCTTCATTAGCCCACTTGAAATTGGGGGCCACGCTGTTGTTGATGATTTACACGATTTACTAGTGAAACTATGAGAACAGGAAACTGTCCCAACCGACTGGAGCCGCACCGTTCTTGTCCCGATCTTCAAAGGAGGCTTACGTTCCGAGTGCGGCAACCAGTTAGTCTGATCCCCATCGCCTTCAAATTGCTTGCCTCTGTAATTCTTCACAAACTAACAGGCACTCGTGAAAGTCAGATTCGTGAGGAGCAAGCCGGGTTTCGTCGTGTTTCGTGGCTGCATCGACCACATCTTCACCGTCACATGTATTGGCGACCCACCGTTGTCGTGTTCCTCGACATAAAAGGTGACTTCGACTCAGTGGATAGACGTGCCCTTTGGGACTGTATGCTAAGGAAAAGTGTGCCCGGGAAGTATGTAAATATTATGCTAACGCTTTACGCGCGTAACACGGGCAGAGTGAGGGTTTACGGTAAGCTGTCGCCGCCCTTCAGTATCTCCAGCAGTGTAAGACACCTTCCCTCTTCAACTTCGCTATTGACGAAGTCAATACGACTTAGGTGTGGAGCTGCTTCCAGGAGAACGACTTGATTCGGAGTATGCTGACGATATTGTTCTCCTCTGACAGCTCCGTAACGTGTCAAACGGCACTGGACAGGTTAGCACTGGCTGTCTCCTGTTTCAGGCGATACTTTGTACCCTCGAAGTGCTAAGCTTTTCTTTAAGATTGGCAGGGACTGACCCTTGGTGGCGATCAGCTAGAAGTCGTTCTAAAGGTGGTTGTATCAACGCCGTTGGAATTGAAGACAAGGTCACAAACCGTGTAGGAAAAGTTCGAGACTCTTGCTAACCATCGCCACCTATGGCGCTGGCGCGACATCACTCTCCCTGAAGGGTAGAGTGTACATACAGTTGTACGTTCGACCCCACTGTACTGTTGTGAAACTTAGCCCCTTAGACCAGCAGACATACAGTGGCTAGTTACGTTCGACCACCGGTGCCTTCACAGTTTACCTCATATCTGGTGCGAACACCATGTGAGCAATGAGCGTGTTTTACGCCTTATTTATGGTGCAGGAAGAAGAAGCGAACCGCTCAGCACCGTTATTTCACGCACAAGACTCCGATGGCTGGGCCACGTGTTGCGCATGCCAGCCCACCGACTCCAGCAACATACGCAATTTGCGTCCCAGGGGTGCAGATGAATGAAGAAGAGAGGTGGCTAAGCGATGACTTGGTCAAGAGGAATGAAGGCTCTTAATTCGACGTTGGCCTCGGTTCCCTGGTTGGTGACCGAAGGTTGATGAACACGTTTTGTTTGGATACACTTGCTGACATAGGTAGGAGCTGATCTCAGTGGCGTTCGTGTTGTGAGTTTTTTGTCCCTCCTCCCGCTTAGCCTCTCCCTACAACCACGATTTCAGTTATTAGGCATAATGTGACTTTGTTGCGGCACAATAGCTATTAGCTCTCCGGAACGATGTCCATCCGTTATTACTGACTCACCCGGCATGCCTGTGTTTCATGTTTCTTATCTTGTGTATTGTGGTATTATAGATGACGTGGTTTCCATCTGCAGCTTACATGCATATTGATGATGTTCTAGCACCTGTCGCGGATTGAATATATGGTCTATACAGCTTCTTCCTTGGCGGAAACTTGCCTACTTTTCCCTAATCCGGGATTCCCGTTCCGCAGTGAGGCGACGAATGACAGTCGATGTCAGTAATGTATTCACATCTGATATTAGGCTGATACCCCTGTTGCTAACACAGTCGGTGCGACTGCCCTTCTTGTATGGTGCCACTGTAATTGATACACTCCAGTTAATCCGGATGGTCTCTTTTTTCCAGACATGTTGGAACAGAAAGGTCAGTGCCTGGAAAAGCACCGTCATTAAAAGTCGTCATTCGAGGCCGACCCTTTCCTCTGCAATGTTCGTAACTTTCATGATAGTGGAGAATACAACACGCTACGTCGCACTTAGCTAGTTAATTATGACAGTCCGTCGCTGTCCCCATTGGTTCAGCGGCATGAGCTGCTGACTGACGGTTTGAGGTGTGGGTTGTATTGGGTTCGGATCCGGATGGAGCCCATAGATGCGTGCTATTGGCGATACCCAACAGGTCGAAACAGCCTTCTAGTGCTTTTCTGGACATGTAAATGACTTCCTGATTTGGAGTCTCGGTTAATAACTGTATGTATCACCGCATTCATTCCTTTTCTCTACGGTTGGTTGAATCTGGGTTTATAGCGACCGATCCTCGTCGCTATAATGTCACCTCGATTGCGGACGTAACAAAACTACCAAGCTCAGCGAGCTGGTCGACCAAATAATAGTGTCCTTTACCATGGACGAACAAAATGAAGGTGTAGTTTATGGCTTCGGCGAAATTCACAAGAGTGGTTTTCCAAATCGTTATAGGCCAACAATCATACCAAACCAGTAAAACCATAGATGAAGATCTGGTCTTGTTCGACAGTTACTAAGGGCATCACAGTGGACACACGGTCATTCGCAGAACGGTCAAGCATTCAACTACATTTTCATCTGACTGCGTGGGCGCGAAGAAACTTACCACAAATAATTGCAAGGCTCCTTGTGTGTCCCCAATCGCAACGATCTGTCTCTTCGAGAAGTTACACAGGGAGATCGCTGTGAGCGCGTTGGCTGAAACCGACTGAACCATGGCGGGTTCATGTGTCTTGTCCAACAAGTCCCACACTTCCAGACTTCCGTCAGCTCTAGTCACGAAGAACACAGAGGGTCTTGTGGAGGACCAAGTACCACCTGTAGCATAGTGGATGGGTAATGAATGCTTAGTGAATCATTTGTCATTGCAACTAGGATGCGTTCGTGATTAAATGTTTGTCGAATCGGAACTTTGATTTTGCGAAATATTTTGACGTCAACGATGCCCGCTAGCCTATTCCATAGTGCCCCGCATCGGAGTATGCAGGCACACAAATTGACGAACCGTTCAGTACGATTACATGCTGGCTTCTTTTAACTAAAGTAGTAAAGTTTCAGTGTTAAGTCATGGCGCCACTGATTTCCCAAGCATTTTCCAAACTGATATGGCTTCAACAAAAGAACCAGAGATGTTGTGACATCAGGACACTCATATTCATTTTGCATACCGGCCCATTTTGCCCCTAATGATAATTAACTTCAAGATATCCATCCCTACAAACATATCGGATGAGTTTAGAAAGGAGGCGTTTTGATTGCAGCTAAACCTAAAGGTCGCAGCTTTCAGGATATTCGTGTTATGTCTGTGTTAGAGTCCTTGATTGGAATCCGCAAGCAGTTGTTGTGGCGTCTACTACTATCGCAGTTTCAGGTCCTGACCTATCCGAGAGAATGCAGTCGATGCGAATAATAAAGTAAACTTCAAGATCGCTCACCAGTATAGCGCTTCCGTGCAACATATTTGTCATTCGTTACTGAGGTGCGCCTCCCGGTAAAGTTCATGGAGAAACGACAGCGTACTAACCCATGATCAGAGTGGACGCAGGTATTCCAGTACGAGCAGCAATCCAGCATGGAACTGCGCCACCTGTAACTTATGGCAATGTGGTCAAGTTGGGTCTATCGCTGGCACTTCGGCGCTCACTGTGTCTAAAAGCAGTGCTACTACGAACCAACTGGTGCTCCGCCCACAGTTGTAGCAGACGCTTACCGTTGTCCGTTCGTTCGGAGTTAAGCCCATAATTACCACCCAGCTGAGCTTCTTAAGAGCTCAGATGCCCCACTTGTGCGTCCATATCCCCCGCAATTACTATAATGTCTGAAATAGTAGCACTGCGTAGTAGCGCGTTCAGTTGTTGATAGAAGTTGTCCTTGACAGCATTTGAACTGCAGTCGGTGGGAACATAAGCGGGAATCACAAAAAGCGTTTTGTACCACTTCGTGAATAAATCTTGGTCGATGCCATCAAACGGGCTGCACACAAACGGCTGTTCACCGGAATCCAATCAACCAACGATGGCTCAGCCTTGGAGATAAGAATGATACCTAAACTAGCTTGACCCGTGAGTGCTGCATCGGTGTCTCCGGATGTGTGCAATCAATAACGAGAGGATAAGCCGGATGCAGTTAATTCAGCAACCCCATTAGGGTCATTGATCCTAGTTTCGGACCCACAATACCCAGTGTGTCCAAGGTGCGTGCAAGTGCAGCCTGTTGACCTGTTTGTCTTAGAGTGCGAACGTTGAACGCCGTCATGGAAACTGGACGGCGTGGCCTTATAAACAGCTGTTGCCGATGGGTGTTGTGGGAGGGTAGCTGCAGATGATTCTACTCCAGTGGCACTTCGGTTACTGTCAGTTAAACTGGGAATTATAGGAGGAAGGTTAGTAATGGGGGTCGGGATGGGAGTAAGAAAACCAGATGAAAAGGAAGGAAGGGAGGCGCCAGCAGTAGCATGTTTTCGCTTATCCGCCCTGCTGTATGCAGCAGACAAGCCGACCCTTGATAATCTGCACGACGACCGATGCAGGATGAAAATGTCATGGTTGTATGTGGGCTGAGATACTGCCAGGGCGCCCAGACCTAGACAGGAGGACGATTAGGGTCCTTAACAAAAGCCTTGCTCAAAAGCCTGTCCGCAAGGCAGCGGGGAGGTGGCAATGATTTAATTTTACAGAAATGGACCTCATCTCATTTCAAACCCTCAACCTGGTGGACCAGGAAACTGACTTTTTCTGACCCCTCACCATTGACTAAATTGATAGGAGTAGCTCTCAAGGGCCTGGAGACACCACCCAGTATAGCTCAATGGGTCAATGAGGTGCGCAAACCGTCGCACCACGTTAAGGTCCAATCTCCTTGTGTCGCCAACTCGTAAACACTACACTCCACGGCTCATCATCGAACCCAGGACCCTCGGCATGTTACTTTGGACCTCTACCCCTTCAGCCACCGGATCACGACAGACAACGCTTAGCACAATGGTTAACGATTGATTGGAGGGTCATTTTGAAGTACTCGTTATGTGAGTGAATTGCGACGCGCAATCTTAATATTGACCACGTGGACATTTCAATCACTAAGACCGTGGCTGAAGCAGATAGAAATCGAGTTTTGACCGCCCGAAAACCGCATCCCCACGACGTGTTTCGATCTCAGTTTACCCTATCAGGCATCGAACCCTGGACCATCGAGACACTAGTTGGGAGCTCTTCCCCTTTGGCCACCAGGGAAAGACGTGTAATCACACCACTAATACTTCGAAATGGCCCTCCAATCAACCATTAACCGTTGTGCCAAACTAACCGAGCACTCCATCTGGTACGGTGGCACATTCACTGCCTCAAAAGCGCTCTGTGCAATGCCGAACCTGAGACCTTCGTTATTGCGATAAAGGCAACGGTTCAGTCATACACGGAATGTTGGGTGCACTCGCCTGAGCGCCTCATTTTATCGAACGGATGTTGCTTGCATAAGTGTCGTATAACGACTGACTAACCTAAAGGTCAAATGAAGTTCTGCCAACTACTACAGCACTGTTCTTACCGAATAGTCGCATATCGAGAGCTCTCCCAATAAATAAGCCTGCTGAAACCTTTGAAAGACGGTATTAGACATTGCTGTAGCATTTTTAAGACACAAGTAACAGATATCCGAACTGGTTGACAAAGCGAACGTTTCCATGAATTGAGCATCTCACTCTTTTTGTCAATGGTATATTACGGACACTGACGAAGCTCAAACTGTTCCGCACGACAGTCGGTCAAAGTCTCGAAAAACGATTATAAACAGTGAGCAGCCATTAATAGGAAACATGTTGATCAAAATTTTTCTTCTGAACCGTTTGCACATGGTTTCATATAGTCTGCAAGGCTACTCCCTGGGTTTTCCCCAGCCACACGAGCATGGGTTGATGCGGTTTCGTTTTCCGAATATGGGTATGGTACATGTGTGTTACATGATGTGGCCAGCGCATTGTCTGCAGTCAGGTGCTGATTCACAACGAGTGGTGAATTACCAACCGCTATGCCAACCCTTGCTTCCAGAGTTTTAGTATTCGGATTCTGATGACGACTGGCATCTTCATCATCATCACACATTAGCTGAAGGTGAGGAACACTTCATTTAACAACATAAAAATATGTGAGGGGCGAGTTACGAAACATTACAATATGCAAGAACTAAAAGGCAAGTAATATGATGCTGTGTCTCGTTATCCATGCCTTGCGGTACCGTTTTTGGAAGGGGAAGATAAGCTAGAAGACGATGGATAAATAAACAACGCAGACGCCACTGGGGTCGACCCTACGCTATGTCATCAAGTGTATCTAACCAGAGGTGATCATCGCTTTGGGACCCCAGTCTGGTAGTCGGGAGACACTAACCAACGCCAACTTCTAAGTGAGGATTTTTATTCCTCTTGACCAAGTCATCGCTTGGCCTCCTCTTCGTCCATCCACTATCCCGGCATGCAAACAATGCACATCGCGGGAGCCGGTGGGCTGGCTTACGTAACACATGACACCGCCACCGGAGCCTGGTACGTGAAATAACGGCGCTGAGCTGTTCATTCGCTTTTCCTGCACCAAATGCATGACGCCCAACACATTCCTTGCTCATACTGTGTTCCCACCGGACATGAGCCAAATTGCGAAGGCACCGAAGGTCGAATGTAACAAGCCTCTTTAGGTCTGTCGATCTGATGGGCCAGGTTTCGTAACCGTACAGGAGGGTTGAACGCATGGCTGCGTTATAAATTCTGCTCTACATGGCGAAAGTGATGTAGCGCCGACACCACAGGTGGCGGAGATTGGCAAAGCACTCCGAGCTTTCGCAATAAGGTTTGTGACCTCATCTTCAATCCCACGGGCGCTAATATAGTTACCACGGTACTTGCATGATGACGATTTGCTGCAGTCTTTAAATCCTAAGTAAGACTACCCCCTCCAGCTCGCTCCACCGTAATAGTGTCGATGGCAGTTAGAAAGTACAGATGGGGGTAACTAACACCCAAAGTTCATCCTCTTCAGATATGGCCCCAGTAATCGGAGTGACTAAGGTTCAATGCATAGTAACTTTAGGTCCAACGGTTACTCCAAACGACTTAGCAACAAGTCGCCAGCCATTTTTACAGCCTTTATCAATGGAGCCCGGTAGTGACCGTAGCTATCGGCAACTTGTATGTCCAAGGATTTAGTTCGCCTTCCAACTCTGTTCGAAGCGTTCACAGGGTGATCCAATCGTTGTGGGCTGCGTGGAATGGATCGCAAATGGAAGACTAGGGCCACGCGGGGCCCATGCCTTAATGCAAAGCAGGAACGTTAACTGGTCTGAGGACCATCAACTTGGTCTTCCTATGCATTACTTATCTGTGATTTTAGCTAGTGAACACAAAAAACTTTTGAACTGTTCCTGTGGTGCAAATAATTTAAAGCGAGTCTCAACGGTCTAAATCCTTAGAGTTTTTGGTCTTTGTGAACTTCGATCTCGACCGCAACAAAACGTGCTGTGTAAAGGTAGACGATCGAAAATCCTGAGGATATAACCTCGGTATATTGCGTGGTCTCGGCATGTATGCGACCGTTCAACGTTCACCACATAACCTGTGGGTAAGCACGGCCACGTTGCAAGAAGAGGGGCCAAATGAACTATAGTGAATAACAAGTTCACTGAGTCTACCACTGTCAGATTGTCCCATTTCTATTCCATCGCATGTGCCGTCAGAAAAGGTTGGAAATCAATTATTCATTTAATCTTAAAGCACAGCGCATGGACAGTGATGCGATCGTCTAGTAAAATGATTGGTCGACAATTAGCTT